GCTGTGTGTATTACAAATGAATGTATTTTCTCCAGTCCTTGTTCCTTTGACCTTTTAAAGTCTTAATGAGGCTCCCAAAGCAACAATCAAAAGCACAGTGTTCCATCTTGGAAGCATTCAGAAAGCAGCGCACTTTGGCTAAATTTAGTTGTAGCATTCAGAATTTAAAAACACCTCCGGCCATCTTTCTGGGAGACACTTAGTCACTCATTTTTTATTTAAATAAATTGGTCAAATAATAGTTGCTTCTTCTTAGCTCACTCGTATAAAATAAGGTTTAGGTGGGGAACCGGACAGGGGGACAATAACAAAAACTGACCCACAAAAGGCCTTTAATGGTTGCAACTCAGGCGTGCTCATTTCGTAGGACACCGAACAATGGAAACTTCTGTGCTCATTTAAAACAATTCTGCCTCAGAAAACCCAAATTACAATAAAAATTGAGGCAACAAAATTAGAAGCTGAAAACATTGAGAATTGCTCATGTTGAAGAAACATCATCTGCTTGACCAAGAATTATATTTGGCACAAACTTCAGAAAATAATTGAAAGTTGGGGGCAAGGGGAGGAGACTCAGATTTCAAAGTAGTATTTCATCTCCCAAATGATAACATGGGAAATAACATGTATCTTTAAGAATTCAGTTTATTTATTTAAGAAAAGCCCTGATTTGAAGACAATATTTTGTCTATGGTACTTAGTTGGAAATTTTTTTCTGGGTGGCATAACCTAAAAGAGCAAACCAAGCCCCAGAAATTCAGCTCTTCTGCTCCACACAGTTAACTTACTTTCTGGATATGAAAAATTGCCAGATTAGAGAGACCAGGTGCATTTTTGAGCTTTGCGCATAACCCAAGTGCAATCTAGCGTTCTGCACTGGAAATCTAGATTTAAAAAGCAGCTTTTTAAATTTTATTTTATTGCTGCAAGAACACTTAACATGAGATCTAGCCTCTTAGATTTTAAGTGTACAATACAGCATTGCTGACTATAGGTAGTGTTGTGCAGCAGCTCTCCAGAATTTATTCATCTTGCTTAACTGAAACGTTCTGCCCATTGCTTAGTAACTCCCCATTTCCTCTTCCCTTCAGCCCCTGCAAACACCATTCCACTCTGGTTCTATGACTGTGACTACTGTAGATACTTTGTATAAGTGGATCCGTGCAATATTTGTCTTTCTGTGATGGGCTTATTTCACTGAGCGTAATGTTCCCAAGGTTCATTCATGTGTAGGTAGTACATTGCAGAATTCCCTTCCTTTTTAAGGCCAAATAGTATTCCATTGTATGTATATACCACACTTTCTTAAATAAATAAAAAGCAATTCTCTCAGTATTTGCAAAATGGTAAATGAAAAGTCAGCCTGGCTTCTGAGACAACAGAATTGTCTACCTTTTCCAGTAGCACAGAATCCAGTGCTTAAGGAGGGGAGTAAAAGGAAGGGGATTAGGAAAGTCATTCCCTACTTGCAGCCTCCTGCCCACCTGCCCTCGTGCATCTAACCTGATCTATGGGATGATATCTGTGGCTGGGCAGGCCTGCGGGGGAAGATGCTCAGAGGAAGGAAGAGGAGTGCATGAAGGAAGGAAGCATGAGAGGAACAGAGCGCTCACCCAGACCAGCTTCTTTTACCACATAGATTGGTTGGGGCAAGACTAAAGCCCTTTACCAAGCCCCTCTACCACACTCCCCAGCAACAAACATGAAATATATTTCCACTCAGCTGTATAAACCTCTACTTGATCATAGGCAAATCTAAAATTATGTCTGTAATCTTAGAAATTTAAAAAAATTGAACATAATTGTGCATTATATGCTAAAAATAGAGCATTCAAAATCAAACCAGGGTCAGGGTATCTTCCAAAACCATGCTCTTTTCACAGCGGAGGGTTCCTCCCAGATAACAGTAGCAGGAGTGCTGTGCAAGGAAAGCCCACAAAACAAAGTCTGAGTAAAGCAAGCAGAAACCTCACCAATGGCTGACAAATATTTAAGGGCTTCCTGAATTAGATAGTATATGATAACCCGGCTCCATTAGGGCAAATTCTGGATGTAGATATATCTCTTAGTGCATAACAGGTGTTAGGATCAGAATGTAGATGCAGGCATGTTTGTACATCAGAGCTGAAACTGAATTCTAAATGATGTCTTCTGGCACAGCAGTTATAGTTCAAGAGATGTTCTAATTTCAAAGCCATCATCTCAGAAGTCAGCAGTGACGAGCATGAATACAGAGAAACTGCACTGCAGAACGCCGATGAAATCTTTCCCCATCCTCCCAAACCACAGATCTTGAGTGCAGTTATAGAGAAAATGTTTGCTTGTAAAACACTTAGAAATACGTGTGAGGGTCCAGTGCAAAACCTGGAAGAGGTACCATTGTCCAGCAAATAAATGGTGTGTTCATAAGAATGGGATGTGTTTGGGGAGATTGTCTAAGGCCATAAATTGAAAAAAATTGGGGGCAGATGTGGTCTGCCATCACTTCAAAGCCAACACAACAGATCACAGAGGTCAAGAGCAAGAGCTGTGCAGTCAGACTGACCCAGAGCTACCTCGTTCACCCACAATGGTTGTGAGACCATGGGTAGTTAATTATCCTGCCATTTCTGACTCCTAGTTTTACTATCTTTAAAATGAAAATAAGAGAATTACCTCATTGCATTCTTTTTGGATGAAGCTGGACAATGCATTGTATATTATTTAGCACAGTGCCTGGCATACAGTAAGAACTCAGTTAATCTGGGTTTGAGTCATTTTTCAATGGTTTCATTTTCGATCAGATAAACTAGGAAAATATAGAAAAGATCATTTTGGATCAGACAAGCTTTTCCTACATCCTGCCTTTGAGTGTAGAATCGAAAGGTATTTTAGTCCCCTTCCGTGCCTCGACTCTCTGATACCGAGCATTGTGGAATAGATCAAAGCCCTTATTTTCACAATAATCATCAAACGGATCTTGCTTGTCAGAGGCACAGTCTCTGTAATTTTCTTCTTTATGTAAAAAAGTGTTTTTATTAGACTGTGTACTGGTGCTCACTTCAGCAGCACATAGATTGAAATTGGAACAATACACAGCAGATTAGCATGACACCTGCTCGATGATGTTGTACAAATTCAGGAGGCATTTCCTATTTTTATGAAAAGAATTCTGGATATGGTTGGTGGTGATGGTTGCACAACAACATGAATGTGTTTGATGCCACTGAACTCTTCATTTCAAATTGGTTAGCACGGTAAATTCTATGTCATATGTATTTTACTATGATACAAACATTGGAAGAAAATGTATTAATACCGCTTCATTAAGAAGACACTGAGTTCTTAAAATGCTTTTCCTTCGTCAACAATTTTGTTTATTACAGTGGTCATGGAGTAGTTCAGTTGCCAGTCCACTGTTACGGAGCAAAGCAGAGGTGAACACAGCATTAAAATTCTGAATATTGCAATCTGAAGAGACTGACTAAAGCAAACTGCGTTTTGTTTATTTATGATTACTACATAACAGCTCAGAAGAATAACCGTTCATAGAATCACCTGTTACCACTGAATATTCCACTTTTGTATTTGTTTATATTTACAGAGAGATATGTGGGGCAGAAGATAGTAATTGAACCATAACTACATTCCATGTCGATGCCGAACGGCAATTTAAAACTTTTTAAATGTGCTTGTATTACGTACTTTTTGCACGGAATTGACTAGAAAGCTCTTCTAAAAACTAAAATGACTGGTTTAAACATACTTGCGTGTGAACAGGAAACCTGGAAACAAACTTACACCAAGTGAGTATTCGCAAGCCGCACGGCTGTTTTCATTCGTCTGTGACCTAACATTTCATCAAGGAACCAATATGGTGACGGATGCTTTTGAAAAGAAAAGTACAATGGTTTTCCGTTTTTTCTTGTAATCTGAAGATAACAACTTCTTGTTTTCAATATCAAGTCAACCCCGACCTGCATCCATACCCTTAACTTCTACTTTCCCTCCTGTTACCATGGACACATTTTCCTTGTTTCCACCCACTGCTCCCTTTATAGCTAAAACCAGTTGACATAGCTGTTTCAGTTTCCTCGTCTCCTACTGTCTACTCAACACTTCAATTTATCAGCATGTCCATCTTGCCCTGCCCAGTGGTCACCTCTCCAACTTCATCTTTCTCAACCTGCTAGCAGCATTTACCATGTTTTTGTCTTTGACATCTACCTTCCTAATTCTTCTGCTCCTTCAGCAGCCTCTCCTTTTCAGGCTTCTTTGCTTGCTTGCTCCTTTTTCTCTTTCTATCTTTAAATACTTAAGTGCCCCAAGACTCAGTCCAGGGCTCCATTCTCTCTTCTATCAACACTCTTCCATACGGCCTCATCTAGACCTTGCATGCAAATACCATCTCTCTGCTAATGACTGCCAAATGTATATATCCAGCCCTGACCTCCCTCTGAATCTCAGGCTCAGATATCCAACAGCTTACTCATCACCCCCATTGGGTGTCTATTAGGCATCTACCCAAAGCAGCAGCCTTCATCAGCCCTCCAGAGCCTGCTCCTTTCAGTCTTCTCTTACTAACTCAGTTACTAAGTCCAAAAACCCATCTTTGAATTTTCTCTCCACCTCCCCTGCAATTTATCTATCGGCATGTCTTGTCAGCTTAGATCAATCAAAACATTTCCCAAGTCCAGTCACGTTTGCTGCCTCCCGCTACCATCCTGTATGTTATCACTGACTGTCACCTCAACAAGGGGGAAGCAGTAGCGTCCCCACTAGTCAGCTTGCTCCTCGGCCTGCCCTCCCACATGCCATTCTCCATGGAGCAGGCAGACAGAGCTTGTAAAAACTAAATCAGGTTATGTCACTCCTCTATTCAAAAGCTTCCAGCATCTAAGCATCACACTTAGAATCAAACCCAAACTGCTTAGCACCTCCTGATCTGGCCCTGGACCCCCCTCAGATCTTATCTCCTACTCTCCTCTTCTCCCATTTCTCACTGCTCTCAGCCAAATCGCCCTTCTCATTCCCCACACACCAGTTTCCCACCATGGGGCTGTTTACCAACACGTAGTTAGTTGGTTTTTGATAAGAATGACACTGAGCTATTTCTGTCCTCCACCTTCACTATAATTTTCTGTCCCTTTGTACAACTTCCTGTACCCACGTTTGTGCACCCAGAGAAAAAGAACACTATCAGCCTTATGTTAGGGTTACTCACCCTGGATTATTCAGAGTTTCTTTTGAAGCTAGAGTGAGAGACCGAAGGAAAGAAATGGCTGTCTTGATTTACAGCAGCCTAGAAGCACGTCTTAAAAAGAAGTTAACGCAAGATGATTAAGTTCCATATATATGCTGTACAACACTGTGGCTATGGTTAGCAACATTGTATTGTCCACTTAAACATTTATTAAAAGAGTAGATCTCATTTCAGGTGTTTTTACTGCAATAAGAAAAGTTCCCACTATGAGATAGTTCCCGCTATCAGAATATCTAAAACACAAGTTTTGGGGAGGGCAGTGCTGCTACTTCTGTAACGGAGCAGATTATAGCCAGGGGCTGATAATTTGCATTTATACTAACATCATATCTGCCTTCTTACCGAGAAGATCATAATCTGATCAGCTTTTACCATTATTGTATACTCCTCTCCTCCATCTAGCATCCTTAAACTGAGTAAGGCTAAAATATAGAACCAAGGTTTTCGCTACCCTCCTTGTGTCATCCAGTGGTCTTCTTTAATCAACCCTCTTTCTTCCAAAATTCCAAGTACTTCACATCTTCATCCCACAAATAACTAAATTCTTACTTGGTTTGGGTATTTATGTTGTTTCTGGTGATGTAAAATTTATAGAAATAGATTGATCTCTGTCTGTATCACTGTAATTCCCTTAAGTTCCTTGAAAGCCAATTGCTATATAAATCTAAATATTTTACAATCTTTATCTTATTCTAAATGTCCCCTATCCCAGCTTCCTTCCTTAGTCTCTATTTTCCTATCTTATAAATTCCCACTACATTTTCACTGCATTCTGTAAGATCTCAGTAAATCATATTGACTGGCATCTCCCTTCATGTCCCTTTGCCTATATTCTTCAAGTTGCACCTGCCAAACTACTTTCTACCTCAAAAGTCAGCCCAAACTCTGATTAATGTAGGAAAGGCTTCAGGAAAAAAAAAGTTCAAAGCATCCTGTGTGAAACACTGAGGAAGACCACAAAATGAGGAAGGCCAGGCATTGTCCTCTGGACCTTCCAGTGCCATAGGCAGACATAAGGTAGTTGCATGATGAGTATAATACTATAAACTGGGGAAAATTATAAAATATCCGAACCCCATACAGTTGAGAGATCTACAAGGGCTTCCTGGAGGCGGCATGGGCATCATTAGATGGTTAAAAGTGAGCGGGATCTCTACAGGCACAAATCATTGATCACTCCAGACAGAGAGGCCAGTCTTGGGGAAGAGCTGCATGAGAGGAAGGACCCTAAATGACGATCCCTCTATCCCATGACAGCAAACGTCAGGAGCAATGGGGTTTCTGAAATCTCATTCCATGTGCGGACCAGATTATCTGCCAGACTGTGTTTAA